GTAGTAGTAGTAGTAGTAGTAGTAGTAGTAGTAGTAGTAGTAGTAGTAGTAGAGGAGTAGTAGTAGTAGTAGTAGTAGTAGTAGTAGTAGTAGTAGTAGTAGTAGTAGTAGTAGTAGTAGTAGTAGTAGTAGTAGTTCAGTAGACGTAGTCGTAGTCGTAGTCGTAGTCGTAGTCGTAATCGTAGTCGTAGTCGTAGTCGTAGTCGTTGTCGTAGTCGTAGTCGCACTACTAGTAGTCGTTGTCGTCGTTGTCGTCGTAGAAGTAGTAGTCGTAGTAGTAGTCGTCGTCGTGGTCGTTGTCGTCGCCGTCGTCGTCGTCGTGGAGGGGCTGGAGGAGGAGGAGGGGGGGAGGAGGAGGAGGAGGCAGGAACGCGTTCAGGAGGAATGAGGAAGCCTTTTGCGATTCTTGTTCCTGTCCGCCTCTTCTCTCGCCTCGAAATGGAAAAGCGCATCGGGTCGACGGCGAGTCCTGTCCTGCGGGAGGTGGAAGAGGGGATGAGGTTTGAGGTTCGAGGTGTCCAAGCCTCCCGGGGCCTCCGGAGGCCGAGAAACCTCGCCGTAGAGACTTCCAGGAGGCGCGTCGTGAATCTCTGGGATCCCCAGAAGTTTCTCGTCCTTCTTCTGTCGTACCTTGCGCCGCCTTCCCGCCTCATTGCAGTCTTCGTTCGTTTTTCATGGGGCGCTTTGGGCGATCCCAGTCGTAATGGGTCGCAAAGAACAGCTGCCAGTCCCCCTCTTCTCGTGCTCCGCGTGCTCTATGCCCTCCGGCTGGCCTGGCAGCGCGTGCCCGACCCCCCCCGCCCCGAAGGAGGGCGGGATCGCGCCTTACCTTTTCGGTGGCGGCAACGGAGGCGCCTTGGGGCCAGCGGCAAGAGGGGGGCTTGGTCACCACCGCCCACCAAATCACCCTGGCCCTCACCCAACCCGAAGGCCTGAATTTGCCCTCCATTTCCAATGGGGGGGGGTCGAACAAGAAACACACACATGAAGCCCGTTACCCCCGCAGCCCGAAATTCGGGCGAAACTCGAGTCTTCGGGTTTGAGTGGGTTGTTTTGGTAGGTAGTCAGTTGGGCGCAGAGGATGGGAGGATGGAGGACTCGAGACGCCCCGGGACCGTGTCCTGATGTGGCGGCAGCGGCAGCGGCGGCGCCCGGTGTTGTAGCGAAGTGGGCCCAGGGGGGGGGGCCGCGGAGGGAGTGGGCGGGGCTCGCACGCAGGGATCTCGCCCGCACGGGCCCGACGCAG